GAAGCTTCGGGAAGATTGGTAAATGGCGTCGGCAAGATCTTCAAAGAAGTAAATTTGTCTGCTAATTTGTCTCCGAATATCTTTCAAATATTTATCACTCTCTGCATAGTGGCCCCGGGCTAGCCTGGATTTTCTATTAGTGATAAGTAACCTCAAGTTATTATGTGCCAACCATAGCAGATGTAAATGTAAATTAGCAGATCTACCGGAACTCTGACATAGCTAACCCATTATGCTGGTATCCATGATAGGTACTTAACAGGTCTAGGTACTTATTAATAGATGAAGTTATAGGACTCAAAAATTAACTTGAAAGAGAGTCTAAGTTGCTGTCATTGCACTAGATTACTAGAAAGCAAACACCATAATTAAGTGATTTGAGTCTATAAGGATAAAATCATAAAGCTTCAACTCTCCAAGCTAACAAAGAATAATTCAAAGTTTATTTGCAGTGATTGCTGAAGATTGAAGACTCACGGAACTGACTGAAGACTGAAGAGCATTTGCTTTTATTACCTACTCCTATTACTATTAGCAGTCTAAACTCTAAATTCCAGTAGGGCGTAACTCAAGGTATCATTTATGGCCTATTTGTGGCTCATGGAATCATGGGACATAATTAGCGCAAACACCATAATTAAGTGATTTGAGTCTATAAGGATAAAGCTTCAACTCTCCAAGCTAACAAAGAATAATTCAAAGTTTAATTGAAGTGATTGCTGAAGATGAAGAGTGAAGACTCACTGAAGACTGAAGAGCATTTGCTTTTATTACCTACTCCTATTACTATTAGCAGTCTACTGTCTAAACTCTAAATTCCAGTAGGGTGTAACTCAAGGTATCATTCATGGCCTATTCATGGGTCATGGCTCATGGAATCATGGGACATAGAATGATAGATAGCATCATTGCAGCATGCATTAACGCAGCATTATCATTATTCATTATTAAGATATTGGTTTGAATCGTGGGTAGAAAGAGGAATTGATTGATTTGATGACAGTTGGAGTTTGACTTTGAAGGTGTAGAAGAAGTCATGTGTCATGCGTGGATACTGGTCACTGGACCGCCTGTTAGTTGCTACAACTTACACCAGGTGACCTGGAGGTTGGACAGCTGAGGCTGGACTCAGCAATTATTATTTAATTCAAGTCTTCATCTTCTCATTTTTAGGTTCTTTCCTTCTTCCTCAGCGAAAAAGAAGTTAAAATTCAAATAATTATAAATTATTATATTCGGCAGTCGGCACTATGATGCTGAGTGGTGACTCGTGAGTAATCAGTCATTCAGTGTGCCTGTGTGTCATGCTTCAAGTCCACAGATAAACAATACATGCAAACCTTCAGTCTTCAAGGAATAAATTAGGCTCGCAAATTTTCAGCACGATGCAAGTCCATGCAACATGCTAAATTGCCAAGACATGCAGAATTGCATCAATATGTCGAATTGTAACATGCAAAAATAAGCAAAATTACACAAGTAGACAGACTTTTGTTGATGTCAGTTCGACAAACAGTTCTCTAAATCCGCTATCACGGCGTTTAACGGATACGAAATCCTTAGTAGCGGACTTCGTTGCTGTTGTGCAGACTTCATTGCATAGCATATAACAGCGGTTTCAGCGTTGATTAGGCCGTAGGCCTGTCACCAATTCTTAACATCGCAGAACATTCACAGCTTGTTGCGATCTCGAACTCACTGCTCCAAAGCCCAAATTCTGCTGTGCTCAACCGACCGGCCTCCTTACCGATTTTGACCACAAACTGGCGCGCAGAGTTGGGATCGAAACTGTGCCTCTCTGCGCCAATATTGGTACTGTAACCACTGTGCTTAACGTTCTCTACGTTTTAACATTTCTCACAAGTACTGTATATAGTTTTTTTTCGCAAAAATGAAACAACAAGTGTAAATGTTTATCCAGAATACCATAGTAGAACGTTGAACTTGTAACAGAAATAAGATGCCAGGTCGTGGTTCCTTCAGACTGCCTGGATGTTTACTTCTCGTTCGTAAAAGCTAAAAATATCATACCAATATAAAATTTTATTGAAAGAGACAATTCTTAATTTATTGAATTTTTGTATCACTTAGTTTTGAGGACTACATCAGACAAATGACTGCCCGCGTTGTCAGTGTATTAATAATTCGTTAATGATCAAGAGGCAGTTTTTGATCCTTTAGTTGAACTCCGTCATGTTTCTAACAGCTCATAGGCCGACGACGGTCATTTCTTAGACGACTTGTAGAGGCCTTTCAAGTTTTGTCTCGCCTACATTGCCGTCATTGTTTTGAAGCTTGGAGATGACTTGATCGGCCCCTGAAGGCCCAATTCATAAAGATCAAATGTCCACAATGAACATTGGTGACAATTTTATTGACCAACTATCTCTGCAAAGAAATAAAAGTTGAATGGGCAAAATTGCTTCCTACGATCATCAAGAATTGTCGTCGAAAGTGTAGCTCACTAGAAATCTCACAAAATTATTTTTCTTGAATATCAATGGAATTGCAATCGCACAGCAGACCATTCCCTGCAGTCTTGTTTGATACCGTGTTGGTAATTTCAGCGATGCTAAAAAAGAAAAAAAATTCAAGTTCATACATATTACATCAAATGGGAATGCCAAGAACCCAAATCGCTCAGCAATAACTTTAGAACCATAATTAAAGCTGTTCTAGATTTACGACTAATTGAGAAAGATTGGCGAGGTGCTACGCACTTTCAAAAATTGGTGTTTCAAATCTATCAGTACTGATAAAAATTTGGGCGTCTTGAAAAGGCTATTTAAATAATTAGGTCACGAGAGTTCCTATAAGATTGAAAGCGGGTACGTGCTGAAAATTTTTGGAAGACACAGGTAATCTATCGTGGGTTTTCTGATTATGAATGTACTAGAGGTTTTTGGAAATGAAAGTGTGTAAATGAAGCATTTTTATTGAGTAGAAAAATAATCAAATCCATTCTTGAAAGGAGTTTCAAATTAAAACTAGATCACAAAGTCAGTACTCCTCGGAGCGCATAGACAACCCGGGGACGCAGGGACAGCAGTAATTATTCAACTTCTACGACTCCATCTTGTCCTGAAAAAATAAAATGATCATTAGGCCTAGGCTGTTAAAACTTTTCCAAGTGTCAACTAATTGGCTATCCAAAACAATTATTTATTTTCCTGCAAAATACGAAACAGGAAACTTCAAGTGGTTGTACCAAGATTATTAAACCCACAAGTAACTCACAAATGCTACTAGAGGTAAGCACCAGACATTCAGTCGCGGAAATTTTCAAAGCTTTCAAATTTCATTATCTAATTAATGTAATCGTACCGATGAGGAAAACTTAACGTTTTCCCGGCATCAAGCCCACAATGCACGAGAAAATTTACGCAAACGACACCCAGAAATTTGAAGATATCAGTTCAATGCTTGAACTGGAGATTACACTGAACAGTCAAGACCAGTAAATTAAAATAAGAACGAAGTATACTACAGGAAAAGCAAATTTGAAATCTGAAAACACAATTAAAGAAGAAAATATGTTCTAAGAGATGGTGCTCACATTAAATTTATTCAGCATAGCAGGTCGAAAGCAAGTGGCCTCTCCTGTTGTAAAAATTTTACCGCATTTAAAAACCAAGACCCGAGGGAATTCTAGAACGAAAAAAATTTGACGCAGAAGCAATCGACCAAACATAAGAAAAACATAGGGAGAAATAAACTACTTCTATAGAGGCAACACAGCTAAAAAAATTCTACTCTATTTTTAGACTAATGCGTGTTATTTACATCAGAGGGTTGAACATCCATTTTCTCTTCAGCCTTAGGGTCAGCTGCGATCTTATCATCTTTCTTCTCCAGAGGCGCGTCAGTTCCGTTAGCATCTCCTTCTGTGCGAGGTTTCTTAATATCTTCGGCAGGAGCCGCGGCCTCTTCCTCAGGCTTCCGCTGTGTCAGGTTACAACTTTTGAGCATTTATCACGTTCGCAGTACCGAACAAAAGAAGGCTTCGACGCTTTAATTGAACTAGCATTGTATGAAGAGATTAAGAATATACAAACCTTTAACAACGTTTGACAAAGAAAAGGGGTCACTATAGGTTATGTAAACGGCCCACAAGAGCAACGTTACGAGCATGAGCGGGAATTACTGTGAGCCACACATAGTCAACTTCGAATTGCTTGCGTTATCAACATTCTGCAAGTACTTATAATTTGTTCTCAGAGGAACGATTAAGCAACACACTAAATAAAGGAGGAGGCCACTTTTTTCTAATAGATATGTGAAATGAGAGAAAAATCGAAAGTCCAAATTAATTGAATCCTTCGAAGAATTTTAAAATCGGTCTGTTATTAGCGACTAGGACCACTCCAGCCAAAGCGACATACAATGCAAGCATGCCTAAGTATGTCACCCTCTGCACTACCAGCATATCAAATGACGATCAAATTCTGAACCCAAGTCAGCTCTCACTTCAGGACATCACTAAAACATGCCTGATTACCAAATTTGCACGAAAGTACCTACTTGTTAGATTTTAGACTAAAGCGAACATAATCTCTTCTCAAAAAGATATTGAAAAAAAACTGACGCAATCATTACCTTCTTGCGGATGAGCATATTAGAGATGGGCTTGGCATCTTTCTTTTCAGCATCTTCAGAAAATGACGAAGTACCTTCTTCGAATGCAGATTTTCTGTCGCTGCCCCCGCTCAGTTGGCCCGAAAAATGAGCCTGAAATGCAAAAATAATTATCGAAGGCAATAACACTGAAAAAAAAAAACAATCATATTAGCTGACAATGTAAGAGCATCATTACACTGTGTATAAATAGGTTAAATATATTCATTGAAATGTAGAATATCTCAACTGGACCACATTAGTAGACATGATTTATTTTCAGAGCATCATATAATTGAAACGGCACTTTAGCAAACAATTCAATTACTCCCCTGCAGCAACTTTATAAGGTTACACTTTTAAAAACGAAGTCAAGTTTACGTTGAGAAATAATAAAAAACGATAAGCACGTGCACTAGAGCTGATTCGCTGCTAACTACACTGAAATCTTTGATGACAAGCGCTGCGCTTTCGAATCTTGCAAGTGTGTACAGAATATCTCAACTCAGGAATAAAGACGTATTACGTTGGAATTGACGTATTTGAAATGTTGTAACAGCAATATTTACCTTATAGATATAAAAATAATAATAATACAACCATAAATATGTAAGAGCAACCAGGACAAGCAGGAAAACTCGACTCTTAATCAAATGATTCAAGTTATTTTTATAAGAAAGAAGTTCTTGATTTCAATTAGTCATTTTTTGCAGACATGATTTTAATAAATGTACACGATTATTTGAAGCGTTCGTCTGAGAATATTCAAACTTATACAAAGTTATTATAAATGATGGACCCAATTTAATAAATTCGTATTCATTTATGTCTAAATTCTAAATGAACAATTTGCACACCAATGGAAAGTGAGAGATCTAATTTTTTTCACATATTCGTGAATGTTCAATTTCTCCACCCAGTGCTGCACGGCAAACATCTGAACGGTAGTCCTGAGCGTTGGGTAGGACGCACAGGAAATGGAAAATCTCTACACTTTTGGCCACCGACATCACCTGATCTCACCCCATGTGACTATTTCTTATGGGGTTACGTCAAGGAAGCTGTTTAAGTCCTGCCTCTACCAGCAACTCTGTTTACGTCCCACCTCTACCCAGCAACTCGGTTTACGTCCCGCCTCTACCAGCAACTCTGTTTACGTCCCGCCTCTACCAGCTACTCTACGTCCCGCCTCTACCAGCATCTCTGTTCACAACCCATCTCTACCAGCAACTCTGGTTGATCTGAAGAACCGTATCACTGCTACGGTGCACTGAGTAACAGAAGATATGCTTTCTGGTATGTGGGACGAGTTTGGCTACCGTTTAGATGTTTGCCGTGCATATACCTAAATGAATACGAATTTATTATATTGGGTCCATCATTTAGTATAACCCTTAATAATTAAGACAAATAAAATGGGAATTAGCTCATGCAACATTCTATACCCATGGTTTTAAAGTTAGAGCATTCTTACTTAGCTAGCCAAGTTGTAAAAATGTATCAAAGCACATACTAGTTCACTTTAAATTTGCTTATATGAGACACCCAGCTAATCTACCCTGCCCTGTTTAGTAGTAGCGGTGCTATTTACTCTCGGTACGGATATACCGGTCAGGTGTGAATGCATGTATGATCGATGGTAACAGAGCTGGAGCGCTGGGGGTGGATGGACGTACATACAGGGATATAGGGGGGAAATACTGAAGCTCATACTGATGATGACCTCTTAGGTCATGAATATTGACCTAAGGTCATGAATAATTATTAGACTGAATGGCTCTGGAAATGTTAACGTTTTTTATCGAGAATATTTTAGCCTTCAGGATACAAGTGGTGACAGACTTTTCTGCTTAGATGGCCATGAGATGAAAGGTTAAAAGACGCCAAAATGAGACCTGAGTTCTCCACGCCAGTTATTCCAGTCAAAGAAAAGTGAGGACATTTCAATTTCACAAAATCCCATACGGTCTTCAATATGGGTAAAATTGGCAGGGCATAAGGTGAACGAGCAGCTCAATTGTTCCGGATTGTACGATTGCTCTTTTAATGCTATCTGAACTACAGAATTATCAACAACATCTGTAGCAACACTTCCTTCTAAACCCATCACTTTATTTAAATCTTTCCAGTTCAGTTGTTATTCTGTCACATCCTCCCATTAGTATTCAGATTAAACAGATTCTTCAATAAGTATCAATTTCTAGTTTATTTAAAAAAAATTATAACATCAGGTGCTCATTCAATAAGAAATCCTAGTCTCCAGGGATGTTGGCTTGCTTTGATTTGTCCATATTTTTGTATGAATAAATTTTGATCGGTTATTTTCTTAAAATGAAAATAATCGTATGATAATGATTATTGTCTCACTTGCTCAGTCAGATTTAGCTCTATTGGAGATTAAAAACAGACAAAATATACGTTTGAAATTGAGCCATATCTTTTGGCAAGGTTATTTTCATTTGTACACCAGAGTTCTAATTCAACATCACAATGCCACGATCACCTCAATTTTTATAAATTAGATCAGGAAACAAATATTAGGACAAGCCGACATTTTGCAAATGCTACGAATTCAGGTAGAAAAAAATAAAACAGCGAAGAAGACACAAATCCCAAGCGTATAAACAGATTTTCAGAAAGAGAAAAATAGCAAGCGCAAATAAAACGAATCAAGTTAAAACAGTGATCAAACATTGACCACACAACAGCAGTTGATGTCATTGTAGCACATTCAAGTTAGTGAACGGAATAACATTACATACCTTAGTGCCATATTCCTGTTGAAGATGAAGAGATCAATAAAAAAGTTATATTAGAAAATGCGTCATCACGTGGGATATGAAGTAAAGGCAGTTCAAGGAACATGATGCATAGTTGGTCCAAGTGATCAAAATAATCTGCAGCCATAGAACACCTGCCTTACATAGAACGGTTTTCTGACTAAGTGACAAGTGATTGTGAGCTGAAAGTGGTGCACGCAATAAGACTTTGATCAGTACGGTTATCATACTTAGATCAAACTCTGTTTATTCAGGTAACTATAACATTAAGAATAGTTGTTCATAAAAGAACCTGCAAACCCAGTGATACAATGATAACTGCATGAATACACTTGTTCATCAAGTTTTTTACAAGATGGAACTGAGAAGACGATGCAGGAAGTTCTTAATTCAAAGGTCGGACTGAAGAAAATAGCATTAATGTGTAGCAATTGATCTCGGGACAGTCTGGAGAACATGCGATAGGATGTGAATCTAGATTTAGCACTTGGGAAGGCATAATAACATTTCCAGCAACTGGTAGAAAATCACAAAAAATTACCTTCATGGCTTTGAGCTTCTCAGTAAAGCTGGCCTTGGTATCCTTAATATCGGTCATCTTCTCCTGCAGTTCAGGCAAGAGCTTCTGCAGCTCACGCACGTCCGACACCATCAGCTTCTGCTCCGAGCTCAGGCTCGACGTCTCCACTGCACACCAAATAATGGATTAGCGTCAGCCCAGAACTAAGATGCAGTGTTAACTTTATCATAAAACAAAACATGAAAATAAAATGTGCCGCAGACATTATTATGATTTGAAAAAAAAAATGAGTTACCCAGTCATGACCAAGAAAGGAACCAATTAGCGATCATAACTCAGAGCAAATTAAAAACGCATATTTCATTACAAGTGCAAGTAATTAAACATTCAACCACTTAATTCTCAAGTACAAACTTAAGCAGGTTTAAAATGACCATGAATTAGCTCACAATTGAAACAAACTAATTTACCTTTGAATCACGTAATAACTTTTTAAAATTCATATTTAAGAAATCAAGCATCAACCTTTTCTAGGTTATACTTCCATAAACTTGAGTTCAACAGTCAATAACCAAAAAATTCAATGAGGTTTCTGTCAAAAAAAAAAAAAACTTCTACAGTTTCTGCAAAACTTACAATCATCAGAAATTTTAATATTGTCTTTCTCAAGCTTCTGAGAGACATTCTTAATTCGTGCTTCAATAACAGAGATGGCGGATTGCAGATGCTCCACGGCGACGTCGAAGTTGTCAGCCAGAGAGTGCGCCAGACCGAGCTGGTAGTGAGTCTCGGCGAGCCAGCGGTCATCAGCTTCAAGGATAGATTCCTGTATGGAGGGAGTGACAAACTTTCATTAATTCTTACAGTTCCGAGTGCCCAGGAAAGTTATAGAAGAATTTAGTTATCAGTAAATGTCTTATTTACAGACAGTAAAAATATGATAAAAAATAAAATTTTTGCTGTCACTGCAAAGCTACAAGTAAGAGAACTGAAAAGACAAGTCCCGATGAGAATGTATAGCTTGATAAAATGATATCCTACTCTACACCAAGAAGCATTTATATTTTATAACTACGGGAAAGTAGTATAACATTCCAACTACAAACCTGAATTTTAAGGCATGCGCTGTACATGTTGATGCTCTCGGGGTAGTTTTCGTTCTCTAGCGACACTTCACCAAGCTTGAGGTAGACCTGTGACAGCTTTGTGTTCTCTTCTTCTGATAAATTGGCATTCCTGTAAAATAAAGCAGAAAGAAATTAAAAATTCAAAGATGCCTCTTCTTATGAAGAGGGTATATGTACTTTCAACATTAGAGAAAAAATGAATACATGATTTCAGAAGCTTTTCTGCTTCCATCCTTCAATTACTTTCAAGTGCATTTCTTTCTAACGACTAACATTTGAATGATCGTTCAAAGAAATCCAGACCAGAATTTTGAAAAGTTATTGCAATAAACTTCAAAATTTTCCATAAATAAAAATTTTGAAGGTTAAAAAACAGACGTCCATGAGTAGGCATTATTAGGAAAATGAAGAATGTCAGTCATTATATTAAGACTCTAAATATATGGCAGTAACTCACTTTTCATAAATGGTCTTAGCGAGTTCCAGGACTTCCCATGCCAGCTGCAAGGACGGCACATCTTCTTCACTTTCTGTTGAGGATGAAAGAGTAGTACTTTACTGTAGTTATTTATGTCAATGTGCTTCATAAACCTACTTCTAGCCACACCACCAAAATGAAAGTTGTAATCATCCGCGTTGAATCGCGGATAATTACAAAACTTGATACTCCAAGATGAATGAACTGTCATAGAAATAATCCACAACAAAATTAAACAACATTTAGACATAAATAAATCCAAGCAAGTTGAAAGTTACAAATTCAACCTCTACTTGCTCAAATATAAAGAAATTCAAGTTCTGGAAGAATGAAGCTATCCTCCAAGTATTTCACGTAAAGTTGAACATTCCAAGAACTTTTAGAGAAGTCAATCACGTCAGATAAGATAGCAATAACTAATGTTTGAAATCATATAAAAAGTAAATCATATTCCAACACAAATAATATAAAGAAACAATAGCGCCTTTTTCCATAAATGAGAAAATGCGCCAAAAAGGAGTACCTTGTGTATCTTCATCAGCAGCTTCATCCCCGTCAGCAGCAGCATCGCCTTCTGCAGTATCGTCCTCTTCAGCAGCGTTGTCGTCTTCTGCAGCCTCAGCCTCCATATCATCTCCCTCTTCTTCATCTTTATCAGCTTTCTCTTCTGCAAGAATAAATATTGTAGTAAGCATTGGATAAATGATAAAACGGATAAACACCAGATTAAACGTATAAATTTGTTATGTTGATTTTTATTGACCTCAACATCAAACTGCAATGATGTGCCTCACAATCTGAGTCAAAATTATTCCTATGCATCAATAAACTTATTCTTACTCCATTATAAATTCCACCCAAGTGACATGAGAAAAATTTAGTATCCCAAAAAAAAAATCACTATTAAAATCGTACATGCCTGAAAATCCTACAAAAAAGGCCTTTACTACACAGAACTTCCCGTGATTAACCAAATATTAAGGTTTTACTCGTGCACTTAGTCCAACAAGGCCACAAAATTTCCGTAAATGACAAAGCCGTTCCATGAATGTATACAAAAAAAAAATTCAGTATATTATTTGTAATGAAATTATTTTACATTTTAGGATAATTTTTCTCATTCACACAATTTAAAAGAGAATGATTACAAAAATTCAAAATACAGAAATCGTCTCAAATTATTCACAGCAGAGAATGAAGTTTCTATCATGCAAGAAATTACAAGCAATCAAAAAGCCGAAGTCAATTAACCATATGTTCATAAAAACGTTTCAGAGACCAGCTCCATCTGGAGTTCAAAAACCTTAAGAGTATACAAGTAATAATCTGCAGCGAAGATCCTAAAAAGAAAAACTCAAGTTATGGTTTTATTAACAGCTGTTGAAGCTGGTCTCTAAAACATTTTCACGAAGATATTGTGAATTTACTGAGCATTTACTTTGCTTTCAACATCTGGGTGAACTTGCAATAGACTACTGATAAAAGTAATATTGTTAGGGATTAAGCAGTATGATGCGCAAAAATGTATACAATTGTGTCTGCACTCTGCAATAAATCTATATCATCATTAGGTGCTTAAGAATATCTTGGGGAAAAAAGCTGCAAGTTAAAACCATAGAACGAAGTTTAAAACTCGTGTTTGTCCTTACTCCAGAACACCCACTGGATCTTAAGAAAGCTAAGGTCACGCGTATGCTGAACTGATTGATTGATCCAGTCAACTTGACTGATCCAATCAACTTGACTGATACAATCAACTTGACTGATCCAATCAACTTGACTGATCCAATCAACTTGACTGATCCAATCAACTTGACTGATCCAATCAACTTGACTGATCCAATCAACTTCTCCAAATTTTCGTGATGTTTAAAGAAGATGTTCCTTTCACGTATAACCTTTTACAACTGGTAATCCCAACTACCAGGAAAAACATTAATTCAATACCTAGAGAATAATGAAGGAAGCTTCAACCAGAATAAAAGCAATAGACATCAAACTACACTCAGCTTCAAGAAGACCAACAAATAGCACTGCAATCCTAATGGTACCAACAACATGCTCGTGTAGACAAGCCTCAGGATAATCTGCTCCACATGCCAAACCAACCCGAGAGATCAGTAGCAGCTCCATTTGCCGACTTCTTCACATCATCGGATTTGCTCTTGGGTTTGGCATCTTCATTTGATACTTTTTCTTCGCCATTTTTGGTCTTGGAATCTTCATCTGTTTTCTCCTTAGCATTCTCTGTTTCAGTGGCTTCTTCGTCCTCATTTTCAGTCTTCTTGTCTTCAGCATTTTCAGCTTTCTTATCTTCACCATTTTCAGCTTTCTTAACATCACTGCTTTCAGCCTGGTCATCAGCACCTTTGGTCTTATCACCATCCTCAACTGCTTCATTTTGAGCATCTTTTTCTTCTCCATTTTCAGTCTTCTCTTCGTTATCTTTGCTTTCAACATCATCCTCTGTCTCCATTGTATCATCATCCTTAATACCTTCATTCTTCTTAAAATTTTCTTCTAGAGCTTCATCTACCTGTTGAGCTACCGTATCCCTCTCCTCTTCTACATTAACAAAATTCCAAATTAGAAGAAGGAACTGAGCAATGACAATTACATAAGTTACAAAAGCAATACGAAATTTATCCATATAAATTCATTTTCATAAGAAGCAAATGTAAAATGTCATTATTGTTAAGGTGAGGCTCACACATTGACATGTAAGGATGTGCAAATGACATATTGCAATAAACAGCCAAATACAGAGGTAATGTAAGCAGAAAATTCACCTGTAAGTTTCTCTGGATCTTCTACTTGAGAGTTTTCCATGTCCTCTCCCTCAGGAACTGCCATACATCATAAAAACAAAACATTCTCAAGTGATTTTAATTTGTCCATGATCTAAATAACAATGAACCTTTACTAGATACAATCTTCTATGAAAAAAATTGCCTAATTAACTCATCTATACATACAAATTCCAATTTTTATACAAGTTGAGATCCATTAAAATTGACCATAAGTTAAGAAGAAATAAGTTTCATTAATGCCTGAAATCAACAAGCCCAGACATAGAGTAAAGGATCAAATTCAAAGTTATATTCACAGCACACTGATTGTTTAATTCATTCTAGGCATGGATGACAGAACTCATTCATTCAGTCACAGGGGAGTCAATCAAGAGGAATTGATATCCAAAAAAAAAACAGGAATTAGGGATGTTTCCAATATCAGATAAAATGGAAAGTTAAAACAGAAAGTAACATCAAGAAGACCATAATTGAAGACCCTCATGGAAGATTAATGATCTCAGCATAAATATCATAGTACATCCTCATCGTATTGGATCCACCACCGCCGACATCGCAACTGAGGGTTATAGACACTATTTTATAGCACAACCTTCCTGCAAAAAATATTATCTATTCCCGTTTTACTTTTCAATAATATATTAAGATGGCAGATAGGGCATTAATTTTACTTTGTGTTAGTTAATATGTTGTTTTTTATTCTTTTGCAGTTTTACAGAATTGCATCGACAATCTTTTGAAATTATTGTATAGGGAAGCTAAAGGCCAGTAATTGAGATAAGCACTGTGTACATCAGCTACAATACAAAGGCCATCATCACCTGTCCATGTTCATCAAAAATTGCAATATCTCAACTATAGACGTTTCTTCAAAATTCATAAAGTCTCTAGTAAACTTGCTGTTGGTCCTCATTTATAACCAATTCAAGCAGTACTAGAACCACATTGGTTGATGCTTGCAATAAACTATGTAACCTTTGTTTTAACTTTGTTTAGTAAAAATCAGAAACAACAACTTTAATTCCCAATTAAATTAATTAGTAGTAATAGACTAGTCAAACCTGATGGCGAGTTCATCACATAGGCAAACGGCTACAACATCATGAAAATAAATAGATAAACTTGTAAATTCAATTTGCTCTGCTGCCTGGCTTAATTCATTTTGATGTCAAGTATGAATAATTCATTAAGAGAGAGAAAAGCCAACCCAAATATCAGTATTGGCACAAAAATATCATGCACTGATTATATGATATGAAAAGGTACTTACCACCAGCAAGTGCATTTCCCAAGACATCGCCCTCAATCCTGGCAAGATCAAGCAAAGCACGGCCGTAGTAATAATAGAACTCGCACATGGTGGCAGACATGTCGCCATGAACTGCTGACTGCAGGGCACATGCTTCCTGTCAACATAAATATACATCATTACAACAACTCAATAATTTGCCAAAATTTAGAAGTACTTGCATATTTATTCAGACAATTATTGTTACCTTAGTGAGAGAAAAATGAAATGCTAGGCAATTGAAGAATAGATAATTCAAAGAATTAGGAAATGTAGTTTAGTGTGATATAACTGTAATGGGTGCTGATCATAGACTCGGAATAATCATCTATGGGAAAAATTTCTTTTTTACAGATAAACTAGAAAAAAAGTAGCCATGCAGAGCAAATATATTGATACTTACAGCAAATGCATCAACTGCTAACTGGTTTTGATTTTGAATTAGAGCTCTCTTGCCCTCAGCAAACTTGAGTGCAGCCTTCTCCAACTTAGCCCTGCAATACATAACCAAATTATATTCCGGTACAAAAAAATTAATGCAATCCATACACAAAATTACACTTTCAACACTTCAATCACATGCAGAGGAAGCCAATTCAATATTTTTCATACAATATTTCAGGACATGTAAAATTGGTGAATTTAGGGAAGAGTCTTCCATTTAGACAAGATTGTTTACAAAGAATGTGATTCTTATTTAAAACTTCATAGCTCAGTTCCTCTAGCCATCTACACTGTTTGAAGGAAGTGAGTGGAATATTTACTAATAGAAACTGCCATGTATAGTCTTGACCATTATAAACTGCAATATATCTCAGTAACTATCAACTATCAATAAGATATAGCCTGTAAATTTGTTTTTCATGTGGAATCAAGAGTTTTGGTTTAAAAGAGATGATTGCACAAGTTCTAATTTCTTCTAATTTGATCTATTAATACATAATTTCAAATTTGATTGTACTAGTAAACTGGGAGAAATTTTACCACATCTACAATCTGATGGCAGATCTTTGAGCATTGTTGAAAGCAATAAAGACAAAATGACAGCCGCTTGATTGGATATTAATACAAATAAACATTTCTACAGTACTTAAAAAAATATCAATTTCAACTTCTAACTAAAATCTATAGTCAGTTCCAAAACATATTTTCTATTATCAATATGCCTATTTATTTCTTAATTCAACTAGTAATTATACTAAAAAATATACTAAAATTATACATTTTCAGTGCATTTCATCATTTGTGGAAAAAAGATGCTATTGTGCTTGTCGTGTACATCCGTCTGTCTGTCCATGACTCTACAGATGAGACAATGCGCTTTCTGTCACTTGCTGCAGTGAGTACTGATCTATTTTTTAATATGTGTATCATAGTCTCTTCATGGAAAATTTACAAGTTGAGTCATAGATTAAATGATTTTGATTAAAGATTAAGGCATTCAGACATTGGCAATGCAGTTGCTAGCAAACCTCAGCTCTGTAGAAGAAAAAACATTGTCATCTAGCTTATTTATTCATATACTATAACACTGGATATAAATACAACCAATATGTAATTTGTAACATATATTGTTAGGTATAAACTCAAGGTTCCATGTTGAAATTAAAATAAATACCATTTTTCACAAGTTGCAGATAGAAGCATCCCTTGTCCACAAATTAGCACTGCATACTACCGTAAGCAAAAGTTAAAATGCTCAAGAACAATGATTTATGACAAAGGTAATGGAAAAACAAGCAACATGATGAATTGAATGGATGGAGATATTATATGGGTTCACTAAATTTGTGGCAAAAAGTACAGCCTGTTTGTCTGTGTTTTTTTTTAACAATTGAAATTTTATCTGTATGAACTGAAGGTACTTGAGCAGACAAGTTTCAACACAACATGGTGTTGAAAGACATTTTAGACTCAGCCTCAAGTTTGTTTTTCAGTCCAATAAGTAGACTAGTTGAGTATCATGGTTACCAGCATTATAATACATAATATATGGTATTAGTTTACATTTTTGAGTAGAATAGGTAATTATAAATGAACTAATTGTAAAAAATCAGTGGTTTGACACTATGCTTCACAACATCTGTATATGGCATGTGACTGATGTGAGAAATAATCATAAATCACACTAGAGGTAAGAGCTTACAATGTTACATGTTATGAGAGCATGTTTCTGTTATTGTTGAGTATAATTGTGCTACATTTGGCAAGGGACTTTAGTCAGTGAGTTTAGTGCTTAAATAAATCTTCATAATGGTTATTATTATGATTATTAATAATAATAATAAAGTGTTAACAAAACTTTAAATAATATTAATAATGTTTAATGTGCTGATTCAACCATTCCCCCACCTCCCCTAGTCTGGTGCTGGGTAAGGTCCCCCTCCCCCACAATCAACAGAACACAGGTAATGACACCCAACCCAAGAGGGAACCGTACATTTTAGGAACTGTTTGAACATCCATTTTCTAGAATTTCACCATGGTCTGTTACTTGGTGTCCATGATACTATGGTTGCCAATGTGGCAATGCCACTATGCAGACATCATGGCAGATCAGGAATTTCTTTTCTTTCAATCAGTTCAGTTAAAACTTAAATGTGCTGATCAGCTCAAGATTAGGTTAGGTATAATAATGCTGGTAGTGGTATCCAATAACCATGAAAATTACTGGTCCACTAATAGGACTCATAAGTTATAGGACTCGTACATTAACTTAAACACCAATCTAAAAAAAGTTTTTGCTTTGCCACTATGTCTGCAGATGCAGATAGCCTACCTACTGCACTTGGCCTTGCTTTACCAATTAGGCAATTAAGCCTACTACTTACTTTTCACTAAAAACCATACAAATAATACTGGTCAGTGGTCAATAATATTGACAATATTCAATAAAAATTATATAAATAATTACAATTGCAATGGTTTGACAACCACACGAGGTGATAAGGATTACAAAGCTGTTTTCAGTGGGCTAGAAAGTTAGAAACTATGAAGTTCAGTTTTGTTTATAGATACTAAAGTACCATGATACTTTGGTAGGTCCTAGTAATAGTTTCACGATATATTATATTGCATTTGCAGGGCAGTGTCTTAGACTCAGGTCACGTGCTGTGTCGCGGTTATCGGCATTGACATTTCACATTTGACAGTAGTCCATAGTGGCAAAGCAGAGAGTTCTTTAGACTCTCCTTCAAGTTCAATTTCAAGTCCCTATAAGTAGACCAGTAAAGTATCATGGATACCACATCATACCAGCATTATCATAATTAAGTAATTGGTTTAAATCTTGAGTTATTGAGGAAATTAAAAATGAACTGATTCCAAAAAAGCTCTGGTTTGCCACTATGGACAGTACTAGTTCACAATTTTATCCAATATTTATGTGTATATGAACTGATTCAGTGATTGTGGCATTGTGCCAATATACTTCAGTGAATAGGTAGGCCTGGTAGGTATGCCTATGAATATGTGATCTGATTCAGTGTCCACTGTCCAGTGATTGTGCCAATATACTTCGTAAGTTCGTATGTCAAAATATTCATGCATATCTTAGTTAAGCCGCCGCCGTACATGACTAACTGTAAGCGTAAATAATCATTATAATGAAATACAAAATTAACTGAGCGAAAATAATGGAATACAAAATGCATAAAAAAATCACCTAACTGCCAAAAAATAACCGTAATATTGCAGACATCGAAGTAAGACAAGACAAGTTCAAGGGAATTGCTAGGACAAAGCAGGTATATACTTTCAAACTTACGTGTTTTCAGCATCGGTGACATCTTTCGATCCAGAAGCCTGAGAAGGTTCAGATTTTTCGACACCAGCCTCCAATTTTTCCACTTCAGCTGCTTTGGATTTGAGTTCTTCTGCAGATGGAGGATCTTGCAATACCTCTTCTTTATTCATGACGACGTCAGAACAAGCTTTAGTCTCAGGAGCAGCAACCATTGCGTCAAAGTGATTTGTTAGAGAGACGCTCACACTGCTAATGCTGTCTTTCAAGTGACCGGCTGCAGTCTGAAGAATCGCGGGAAAAATCCGGCAGCCAAGTTCCCGCCATTTGCAGTTGCCAACAAATGATTTTCAGAATTTGGTTAATTGCACTCTGTATTTATGACAAAATCATTCGTTATTTAATTTTTTATGTTGTTGCTAAAAATATTTAGAAATAAAAAGCTTTGTTACTATTCGTCGTATGATTCACTGTTGAATGCAATTTATTTATTGAAAAACATGTTTGGCAGCTTTAGCGACATTCCTGTATCCAGCTTAACCATTGTTATTTAACGGCTTGCGGAAGTTATAAATCCATTGAAAGAGACCAATGGGTATTTCACTATTTGATCACATTCAAGGAAGACAAAATCTGCATTGCTTATTACGTGCGCCATGCAATTGAATTGAACTCACTTTTAATTCGCTCGCTATTGCAACAACTGTAGAGGGAGTAATGAAACGATCTATGTTGTCCAATTTCCGTCCCAGACACTTTTGGGACGCTTTTTGTGAACGAATAATACAATTCATACACTTTGGAGGAGAATTTTTACAATAGGCTTATTTTGAATTAAAAGCTTCGCTTTTAATTAGGTCAAGATCGGTTTTGATTGACATAGCTAATATTAGTTATGAAGAAAAACCTGTTAAAAAGTAGCATTATAGGAGCATTAATTAATATAGACTGAGGAAAGAAATTTTGACGACCCTCTCAACAGCGTATTGTTTTGTGAATAAAATTTTTTTAATCTCGTCAAAATAGGTTTTGATTTGAAAAAGTTATGCACGGAAAATGTGTTTTGAAAAATTCGTTCGTTCGTCTCCAAGTGATAGTAACAAATTTGTTGTAAATTTATTCAAAACGACCAAATTACGGGTTTATGACCAGAATTCTTAGGTGTATTGAGGTGTTGGTGTAATATGACCGGAATATTGTTACCGCAATGAATGGTTGCAGTGAATTGTAATTTAAATCATTCTACTCAATATTGAATCTTATGCATGGAGCAAAATATTTGCAGATGGGGTTTTTGTAGTTTGATTGATTTTTCTTCGAAAAAAAAACCAACAGGAAATAAATGCCGAGTAACCACAAACAATCGAAGCCAAGAATACTGCAAAATCGCCTAATGGTTAATTTCGTGGCGCAGCAGCAAAACAGTCGTCGTAAATGTGTTTGAGTGAGGATATCCGAGCAGACTGGCGGCCTCTCCTGGCTCATGAATTGTTTCATGCTGTGGCACAGCACTAAGCCTGCCGGTGAGTATTATGGTCAACAATAGGTGAGAATGGCGAGCATCGCAAGCAATTGTTATTATTGCTTCGTTAACAAATTTATGTTTTGATTTTATTCAATCCATGCAGTTATAAAAATTTTCCGTCATATTTAGGTTTATTATTTGGTAATAGAAATGTTATAATTCAATCAACCTTCTCCCACGAGCCTTCTGACCGGTCCCTTGCATGTCAGAGCAATTACACACCCAGCTCGTAGTAACTTAGAATGAGTCTCGGCTAAGGTTGTAGTTGACATGTAGGCAAAATGGTTCGTAGAAAATAAGAACTCATGTTTTCCTAACCTAGTGGTTCCCTATCGTTCGTGGTCGAATGCCATTCGGAGCTCCCGTATTGTCCCCCTAATAACATAACTTCTGAGCCGCTGATGCTAATAACTCACGTAAATGTGTACTGTATAAATTGAATGTCAAGTTGATGGGACCCTTAGGGTAGCGTGTAACAACACCAACGAACGGTTGTCCGATCATTTTCTGTTAGACATCACAGATTTTCGTAGAGCAGAAAACAACTAACAATTATTGTTCACGATCTCGGATAAAATTTGCTTACCACCTGAAAGGACCTCGCTCACCTCTGGTGGTACAGCACGTATGGTATAGGTTGGTAGCAAATGAAATGTTCTATTAATTCTTCGCGTTTATCATTCTACTTCACCAGCGTCGATGGTTTGTGCGGTTGACGCACTCCGTACTTAAATCTCAATTTTGGTTTTAGTAACGCTTTCTGAGCCTTAACATTCTCCGTTCATCATCGAGGGTAAGGTGAAACATTACTGTTTTCTTGATACCCACAGTGAGTTCCTGACACCCACAGTGAGGTCCTGACACCCACAGTGAGTTCCTGACACCCACAGTGAGGTCCTGACACCCACAGTGAGGTCCTGACACCCACAGTGAGGTCCTGACACCCACAGTGCGGTCCTGACACCCACAGTGAGGTCCTGACACCCACAGTGAGGTCCTGACACCCACAGTGAGGTCCTGACACCCACAGTGAGGTCCTGACACCCACAGTGAGGTTAGGACATTATATATTATATGAGGACATTATATATTATATGAGGACATTATATTATATATTGTGTACACTTATAATTAGGACGTACATCAGCACCGCCCCCAGCACCAGCGCCATCACCCACACGCTCTTTCTGTAGCGTGTAACGAATTTTGTTTATAATTATATATTTATGCGTTATAATTATATATTTATGCAACATGCATTATATTTATGTAATGCATGTTGGAATTATTCTTCACAGTAGAGAAGAGAAATAAAAATAAAAAATAAGCAGAATAAATAATAAGCAGAAATAAAAAAATAAATAAATAAATAAATCGAATCTTCGTTGAATAAATTCAATATTATTCCTGTTGAAAAGCGCAAGATAACATATCTTCATCTGGACGAAATGCACAAGTTTTATTGCTAATTGCTAATGAACAAGAATACAATTAATGTTCGAATTATGTCTCAAGTATATAATAAATAAACAATTTGGGTCATTTCATCTGCTATAATAATAAACGGAATCTGTGAATCATTTTGGAAACGGAATGTACAAGTTATCTCTTCAGTTGATAATAAACATTAACGCATCCAACAAGATATCTCGATGCTTCTTATTCCTTTGCCTCAACATCCTGTAGGCCTACAAAAAAATAAAAGATTTCTGAATTTCCATCTGGAAATATCGAGATCATCTGCGCCGGGCTAAAGGAAACTAGGAGTGTAACAGCAAAAGCCGCTGTGCATCCGGCAACCTTCCTTATCTTTTGTGACGATTCTTTTGTTAGGCACGTACAGGGTGGACCTATATAAGGGACACCCGCATCCAGTAGGCCTTCAGTTTGTGCCTGAGTTCCACACCGACGACTTGTTTATAGTGAACTCTGCTCTTCCTTCGCTAACGTTTAGTCTGAGTGACGTACAACACGCATCGGTTTTGTTGGTTTAAAGTGAAAATTCCACGTCAGAAGAACTACTGCAAAACTTTGACTATCAAATACTTTTTCAGATTTTAGTGAAGTTTTTTATCTCTAGCTCCTACCTCGAATCATTGCCGACATGGAGAACACCAATGATGTTCACTCCCAAATTTCAGCCCCTGGTGATGAACAGGTGCTAGTGTTGAACTCTGACAACGCTGAGCACAATTTCAATGAATTAGAAAATAAATTGCTTAACGACATTCGTTCCCTTCACTCCAAAGCTCAGCGGCAGCCATCGCATTTAATTATTGAAGAATTTGAGCGTATTTTATCGCCCATTTTTATTGACGTTGGACCAAAATACCTCGAAGTTAAAGAAAATTTCACGCTAGCGACGGTAGACATTTTATTATCTGAAATTAAAAGCATCATTGAGTGCATATCTCCTACAAAATACGGCGTAAACAAATACGTAGATTTTATCGAATACTTCAACCTGATGGAGGCATACCACCAGGAGCCAACCAACACCAGGGGCCACGGCTATAAACTAAAAAAACTGCGTTGTGACACATCCATGCGACAACATTTCTTCTCGCTTCGAGTCACCGACATGTGGAACAGCCTCCCTGATAGCATCGTTGACGCTCCGAGTATGAACATCTTCAAAAACAGACTAGACGAAGCTATGCAGGAGCATATGTTCAGTCTTAAAATGCCTAGCAAATTACGGACCAGGCAATAAGTCCAGCAGCTATCTCAATCAATCGTCAGTTATGGAAAGATCGGGTTAGAAAGGCCGGATCCCTTGTGAATCAAGTCACGAAAAATTCAAGAATCGGCAACAGGCCATGGGCCTATTTCTTCAGTGCCGACATTTCTATTCTATTCTATTCTATCCGTTCGAGCAATGGCTCATGAAATCGAAGATTCAATATCCATGCAGAGAACAGGTCTGAACCATGAAGCCAGGCTCAGTGAAATCATTATGAGTTTTTATTCAATGTATGACAACGTTGTCAAGGCAGGTGTCATCCTCGGCAACACACACCACGAATTATGGTCCCCGCTTCTAAAAAAAACGCTCGCTGCAAGATATTCTACCGCAATCTGAAGAAGAAGCTTGTCCCGTGTGTTTGGATGTTAACATTACAGAAGAAGAGAATTTTGTCATGTTCTCCAGCTGCAGACATCTTTTCTGCCACTCATGCATAGCGCGGTGGCTGCAAAATAAGTGAGTGTTTGCTTTATTGATTTTTGATACTAACTGTACTTCTATTCTATGACATTCTTTGTACTGATAATAGAGCTGTCTCCGGCACGTTTTCATGAAGATTTTGTGAGTTACCTTACGTTTTTTTGAATCCTTGTGAGCTTGCAATTTAAGAAGACCAATAATATATATAAGCTGTCGTTTAATTAAATGCAAGCTGTCGGATTGTTTATATTGCTTTGATGTTGTTCTGCGATTATCAGGCAAATATCATACCGATAAGTTTTTTGAATATTTTTTTATAACGGATTATACGGATTATTTCATTCAATTTTTTTTCGAGAAATTTTTTCAATATTTAAATCAAAATTTAAAATAATTCATGCAATTACTCATTATGTGCAATTTATTACAGAGTTAACGGAACCCTACACTGTGGATATTTAAAATGTTCTCTTATTTTAACATTTTCTATATGAATGCAGTATTCAAAATATTCTCTAATATTTTCTCCAATAAAATTATCGTCAACTCCATAAGGTAGACACAACAAACATGAATTTTGATATTCATTTTTAGCGCATTTTCTCATA